TAGAAAGAAAGAAACAACAAAAGCAAGAGAAAAGAAAAAAAAAAACAAAAAAACAAAAAAAACAAAAACAAAAACAAAAACGAAGGCAAAACAAAAAATCAAACAAGAAAAATAAGAAACACTCACAAACAAAAAAAAATAAATAAATAAAAATAAAAATAAAAAATAAATAAACCAAACACAGATTTTTATCTCCAAACACTTGACCAAAAACTAAATCATGATTTCTAACATTATTTTTAGACAAATAACGTAGAAAAAAATGGTCCTCTTACCTCCTCCACAGATACCACAACTCTTCTGGCAATTTCTGCTCATCCAGGTTACGTATGACCCTGATTTACAATATCCTCTCTTGGCCCATGTTGGACATCCTCTATTATTGTCCGAGCAACCTAGTCATAAATCCATAACACAGATCATAACACAGCGATCCGACGAGGGGTATACCCGGCAACTGTTTCAAAAAACCTCGTCTTCACCAAGGGCGATAAGCAATACGAGAGAAGCAAAATTAATATCAGTAACCTTAGCATGTATATATATATATATATGTTTTCTGACTATCGAAATCTTTAGATCTCTGCGATAAAACATGGATGCAGGTATCTCCGGAGTGTAGCTACACCTATATAAAAAACGTTGTCATCGCCAAAGCCGATAGGCAGTAGGCGAAAAGCGATTGGAGATAGGTCATTTCAAGATCGTAGAATAGTTGGAATGACTTGTGTTTCTGCTTCTTATTCTCGTCAAGAACATGGACCTTAGTGTTAAGACTGATTTAAAGTTGATTGTAGTCGACGTAGCCCGCATTTCCGTCTCGGAATGACCTATATTTTGAAAATGGTGTATATTGATAACAGACACTTAATCCAGTCTGCACTATAGCAGTCCTTCTTCAAATGAACCTTAATTGCAATCGTGAGACAAATGAATAAGGTTCATTTTTAAGAAAAGATGGAAAAAAACCAAAAAACAGAGAATAATATATATATAAAAAAAGATTAAATCAGAAACCCAAAAGTTCATACTTTTCCAATTCAGACACCCTTATATTTCATGTAGTAACTGGAATGAAAGAGGAAGCGAGTATTACCATGAGCGAACGTTGCCAAAAGTGAAACTCCCAAAACGCAAGCCAGAACAAACGCCTTCATGGTGAAATAGGTTTAAAAAACTCTGTAAATTGCCTGATAGCGTTTTTTGTATTTATATTAAACGATATTGTTTCACATTGGAGCCTGTTCAAACACAGAATCGGACTTTTCATACAGAAGTTGACTTAACATCAAAAGCGCCCTCAAAGAATGAGGTAAAATTTATACCAACGATCCAGCTGTGCAGCTAGAATATGAAATTGTTTATCAGTATCGCGCACTCCCCGCCAAGTTCAGGCAGATTGTTTTATCACTTTCCCGATTCATTGATTCTATCTGGATTCTGGACGTGTGAATGTAAATAATTTCAAAGAGATAAAAAGCGAATTTAAACACATTTGATACCAGCTCAGTCATATACTTGAATACTTGACAATTTTTTTGTTCCCTATTTTAGATTAAAACATGCAGGCGAAGAATACCTAAAAGCTGCAACAATATTATATTATATTATTTGCTCATGTTCAAAACGAACTGAGAGCCCCTGTATGTTCAAATGCGTTATTATTTTAACATGAACTCAATCAAAACGCTAGAAATGACACGCGGAATAAATGAAGCTCAGTTTCTCGTAGGAACGTTTTGAAGTAGTGGAAAAGTAACTGGGATCAGCTTCTTTTTTTGGGGAAAAACTGCAGAAAAAATAAAGTTGTATACACTGGTTCTAGGATTTGCTTTAAAGGATTGAGGATATTGTCAATTAGGATATTTTGGATTCCCCCAATGTTCATCACTAGGACCGACACTGAATCAGACAGTATTTGGAATTACCTTATTCTTTTGGGAAAATTGTAAAATTTAATGGGAGTTGAGAGTTCTCAAGAATATTTGGGATTCCCTCGATATTCATTCAAGACCGACACTGAATTAGTTCGCAAGGAACAGATAGAGAAAAGGTTCTTCACCGGGGTTATGGTCTAATGATATAGAAAATAACAATTGGAAACACGGGGGTTCTCCAAGGTTCATCACTAGGACCGCAATTTTGATTAAAGAAATAGTAACATAAATACCAATATGGAATATATTAAGGGTTCATCACTTGGAATGGACATCCGGTCAAAGAGAATTGAAAATCAGATTGCCAACTTGAGATTAGTACTCCAAACGTTGCCTCTAAGTCCCCGATTTATTTAAAGTTATCCTTTAAAATTAGCTGTTCATGGGCGGTTTTCTTTAATCATAATAAGAGCCGATGAGCCCAAGGGCATGTTTGAACAGGACTATATGTTTCATATATTTGATGTGTGTGCTTTATCGTTTATTTACTAAAGGATTACCAGGGGGGGGGGGGGGGGGCGGGGGGGTGGAAGCCGCAGTGAGCAAGTTGAAACATGCGCCGCTATATTAAGGAAGTCCGGTTCGTTAATCTGGTACTTGCGATTTGCATTATTAATTATTATTTGATCTTTGAACTAGCTATGCTTTAATTTTGATCAGCCTAGAGTTGTTTCAGGGTATTGATAAAATTAAAAGGCGTTTGCAAAAGGATCCATTTGGATGGCACGGTCCGATGCGTCGTCATCACTCCGGTCCATTTTTTACCTTTTTTTTTTTTTGGATTAGTATATCATTTTCAATGCCAAAGTAGCCATTCACCTCATAGGCGCGGTTCAGTTTTGGGAACACGAGTTTTGCCGAGGCTGTGACTAAGCTGCCGGACTGAACTGTTATAATGGAGAAACGTCGCCGAAGGGGAGGTGGGTGGGGTCAAAAATCCGTCTAGCACTGACTGGTACAGCGAACCTGAGCAAATGAAGTCGAAACCTTGGATTTTCTCGCTTAAATAGGCAACTGCCGACCCGGGGGCATTCATAATGCTTCTCACCTAGGAATCACACCCAGAAAGTCATACTAACATTTCCATTCCACGCATACTCGTTTCATGGTAGCTATAGGGGTGAAAATATCATTTTCACCGCCAAAACAGCCATTCACCTCATAGGCGCGGTTCAGTTTTGGGAGCAAGTTTTGCCTCCGGCCTGTGCTCTAGCACTAACTGAACTTAATACCATATAGCCAACAACTATAATAAATTGATACATTCATAACCAATATTTCTAATGAATTGATACATTTTTCCAAAACTTCCCGCTTCCCATAAAACCAGTTCCAGTGATGGGCCACACAACCAAACTACCGAAACAAGGTCGACACACGACGGACCATAAATTTAGCCGAGCTCAGGGTCACCACACGACCGAACTATCGAAAGACAGTCAACACACGACCGGACAATAAATTTAGCCGAGCTCAGGGTCACCATGCGACCAAACTAGCGAATTGCGGTCGACATACGACCAGACCATAAATTTAGCCGAGCTAAGGGTCGACACACGACCAGACCATAAATTTAACTAAGGGTCGACACACGACCAGAACAACGAGAAATGCAATACATAACATGTTATACATAACCCTTAAAAATCTAACTAAGAATCTACTCACGTAGAGCTTATAAATACATAATAGAGAGTTTTAGATTGACTTTTTTTTCTCCCCGCAAACGGCAAACGTGACCACGTTTTCATAGTTTTCCTGTATTTTACTTTACCTTTTACAGACCTTCTCACCAAGCGCAAATACACTTTTGTTTTTCTACTACTTGGACTTTTTTGCGATTCTTTTTAAGTCATTTAAAAGAATTTTTTACTGGTCAACTGACGTTTCACGTTTGCCGTGAACGTAAATCTAAAACTCTCTAATATAACTTATAACCGTAATAACTACGGTACAGCCATGACAAGCGAGTAAAGCGGTGACTACGTGAAAATATAAAATCTGGCCACAGGCTAAACAGTAAATACGAAGCTTGACTGAATTACTAGGGAATCTAAACCGTGCAAACACACGTGTCGGGGCTGTGGACATGAAAATATCAAACACAACCAAAAAAGTCCATGGTAAAGTGAACATGAACTCCGAGAGCAAACATGTGGCTGGACTAAACTACGTCCAAACACACACGACCAAATAAATCTTAAAACGACGCCAAGAATCGAGCGAAGCCCGTAAACATGACGTGAAACCAATCAAATAATTACCTCGACAACTGTTGGTACTGGACGGCAATGACGTATTGGGAAGCTTTGGCGACGTTGGTAGGGAAAAGCCAAGGGAAAAAATCCGTCTAGCACTGACTGGTACGGCGAACCTGATCAAATGAGGTCGAAACCTTGGATTTCCTCGCTTAATTAGGCAACTGCCGACCCGGGGGCATTAATAATGCTTCTCACCTAGGAATCACACCCAGAAAGTCATGCTTACTGCATTCCGCGCGTACTCGTTTCATGGCTGCTTTAGTGGTGAAAATAGTTTATTCAGTTGTCTATTCAAAGATACGAAGACAGCAAAATTCACAATAACGAAATTTGTTGACGCCTTATGGCAACATTCACTTGGTTGAAGTAGCCATTGCTCTCGCGTTAATACTAGATGCGATTTTTTCGCTGATTGCTTTATCTGAGAAAGTTGAATCACGCAGTAATGATGGCAAAAACCACCACTTCGTTCCTCGCAAACTCAATGTGATCATCTTGTGCCTTAAAATTATTTTGTGTGACCGGCCGTTTGAATGTGTTTTGCCGCTGAAGTCTCCGCGAAGTGTCACAAGTCTTGAAAGAAAATCATTCCATTTTCACTAAATGAAACAGAAGTAGCCAGTTCAAATGTTTAGATGGAAATACTACTAGTATCTTTGAAAATAATAGTGATTTCAAACATAGATTTTTCGATGAAAATTGGTCATAAACTTATTCAAAATTATAATATATTAAACTTGCTTGTGAATCGGTTTGAAAACTCTTACTTTTGGTCACGTCAAAATTTCTTCAATATTAGCCGAATCGTTTATTATGTTCTTCGAACTATGAATCAAAATCAAATAAAAACGAGCAAAATGAAGCTGAAAGAAAAGGCGGCAAACAGAAACACATAATCATTCAATCATAAAAACAAACAAACAAACAAGCAAACAAACAAACAAGGAAGCAAACAAACAAGGAAGCAAACAAACAAACAAACAAGGAAGCAAACAAACAAACAAACAA